AAGTTAGGCATCAATATGGTGACCCCTCAAGAGCAGGGAACCACAAGGTTGCCTAAGAAAGGGTGAACTGGCCCAGGTTGGAAAGGGAGCAGATCAAAACTCCAGTCCTAATCAGTAGTGGGATCTCGCCTGTGAATAGCCACTGTGCTTCAGCCTGGGCAACATAGCGAGAACCCCGTTTTTTAAAAAGTAAAAAAAAGATTTAAAATAAATGGGAAAAAAATAAAAAATAAATAAAATAAGGGGGAATGATGGGCTAGTCAGTTGCTTAATCAGAGCACCGTTGTGAGGATCACATAAGAAAATATAGTGCCTGGCACATAATACATGCTTAATAAACACTAGCTGTTATTATTATCAGTAATGACATCCCACAATGGCTTTCATAAACAACTTCCATCTAACTATTGGCAGAAAGGAAAACCACTGTTTGGTTGTTTTGGATCGGAAGTCATTACTGTGGTAGAGATACCCAGTTTGTACCTGGTGCTTGGCTTATAACCCCAGCAGCTAATCACCTGAGTCACTTTGGAACACATTTATACTAGTTGAGCTTGGAAAATTCATTAGGAAGTCACATGATCAAAAATTAATGACTTTAAAAAAATGATTTAGGTGGGTGTTTAGTTATCATTGTCTCAGATTAGAAGAAAAATCTCCCAGTAGAGATTATTGTAACGCTGCTTGATGGCCTGGAACCATGGTGGCACCTCCACTCCGTTGCCGCTAAGTAACCCAGCCCTTGGGGGCTCCTTGACAACTATCTGAGCAGAGGTAGGGGGTGTTCTAGTTGGAGCCAGGCTCTGAATCAGCTCATCCTCACAGTAGGAGAGTCCTACTCCCAGCTTCATTGAATGCCAAATCTTCATTTCCACGCCTCACTGGTAACCCCGAGAAGTCATGTGCCAGAAGTCAGGGAGAAGCAGTTTATGGAGAAGTTTGAAAGCATGTGCTGCTGCTTTTCCTCCATGTGGGTAATTCTTCACTTTTCTTGGACTTTCGGACACCTTGGAGAATCTAATGAAACCTATGGACCCAGTTCTGGAAAAAGTGCACAGATGCACACACTTTTGCTTACTGTGCCAAGAATTTCTGAACCCCTGAATCCTGGTGCATGGTTTCCAGGCTAAGAAACTTTGCACGAGATATTCCAGAGTTTGTCCCTTGTGAAGTCACCTTAGTGTAAGACCCCTGTTAGTTCCCACAGGATGGTTTTTCCTAAACAGCATCATTGCTTTTGTTGCAGTATAGTAATACGGTGGCGTGAGGTTAAGACAGTCTTGTGTATTCTCTTGCCCTGTGTGATGTGAGGATGTTGTTTGTGTTACTATATTTATCATAATCTATGGCAAAAACTTGCTTCCTTGATCTCCATGTTAGGAATGACTATGCTTCTCCCAGCTATGCTTTGTTTTTATATCACTGACTCGGCTCAGTGATATAAGTCACAAGGCAACTCAGCTTCCCTTCTCCCCTGGCCTGCTGGGGAACACAGCCTCAAACTTGTGTTCTGTCTCCAGAGAGCGCAGTGTGTTTCATGGCAGGTATTTTGTGTAATCACCTCACTCTTGGCTCCATCTTATTTTCTTCTCCTTGTTTTCCCTTTACTTCATTTGTTCTTATTTACTGCTAATTTATTTTATGCTGTTTTATTGTACGCATCTTTGTAAACCTTAAATACATTTTTGGAACAAGGCAGATATGAATCAATAAAAACGCATAGTAGCTAAAGGAAGCTCTGGATAGCTTTCTTCTTGTGAAAACAATTGTCCCTGAATGTATAGGCCAGTTTCCTGGGGATGTGGAGGGCAATTGAGAAGAGAGGTGACAGAAAGATTGAAGTGTCTTTAAATGAAGAAGTGGGCCTAGCTGGGGAACCTGCCCTTGCCAGTATAGAAAAAATACAGGGCACTGCACTTGGATATTTTACTCGCATCTTCCAACTAAAAACAATAATCACAATCCTCCCCCACCCCCATGGGGAAAACATGTATTTTTAAAATAAGGTCACCTAAGAAAATTTCTTTTATTATGGAGAATTTCAAATACACCTGAAAGTAGACTAAACACTATAATAAGCCCTTGTGTACCCGTCATCCACCTCTAGTGACCATGAACGCCCTGCCAATCTAGTCTTATTCATACATCCCTTCTATATACTGTGATTTTTAATTTTTTTTTTTTTGAGACAGTATCTTGCTCTGTTGCCCAGGCTGGAGTGCAGTGGCATGTTCATGGCTCACTGCAACTTCTGCCTCCTGGGCTCAAGTGATTCTCGCACTTCACCCTCTCGAGTAACTGTGACTGCAGGCATGCGCCACCACACCTGGCTAACTTAAAAAAAAAAGAAAATTGTATAGACAAAGTCTCACTGTATCACCCAGACTGGTCTCAAACTCCCGGGCTCCCAAAGTGCTGGGATTACAGGTGTGAGCCACTGCACCCAGCTTAATTTTCAAATCAAAGCAAAATATACATACATAAATGCATACATATAGACACTGAAAATATATATGTGTGTGTGTGTGCGTGTGTATATATATATATATATATATATATATATATACACACATATATTTTGAGATGGAGTCTCGCTCTTGTTGCCCAGGCTGGAGTGCAGTGGTGTGATCTCAGCTCACTGTACCTTCTCCTGCCTCAGCTTCTTGAGTAGCTAGAATTAAACATTCTCCTGCCTCAGCCTCCTGAGTAGCTGAGATTACAGGCGACTGCCACCACGCCTGGCTAGTTTTTGTACTTTTTTTTTTAGTAGAAATGGGGTTTCACCATGTTGGCCAGGCTGGTCTCGAACTCCTGACCTCAGGTGATCTGCCTGCCTCAGCCTCCCAAAGTGCTGGGATTACAGGCGTGAGCCACTGTTCCTGGTCAACACTGAGTATATTTTTACACATTAAGCACAACTGTGTAACCAGCACTCAGAACAAGAAATTAAATATAATCAGGCCCCCAGAACCCCATCTCATGCCTATTCGCAGTTACTATTCTCCCCTCCCCCAAAGGTGACCACTCCACAGACTTCTAACATCACAGATGAGTTTTGCCTGTTTTTGACCTTTCTTTAAATGGACTCATACAGCACAGACTCTCAAGTCTTGCTTGTCATGTGCAACAACACTGTATTGGTAAGATTCATCTAGGTTGTGTGTGTAGCCAGTAGTTCATTCATTTTATTGCTGAGTAGTATTCTGTTGTGTGGATGTAACACAGTTTATCCACTTTCTTTTCTTTTTAGAGACAGGGTCTTGCTCTTTTGCCCGGGCTGGACTGTAGTGGCGTAGTCACGGCTCACTGCAGCCTCAACCTCCTGGGCTCAGGTGATCCTCCCACCTCAGCCTCCTGAATAGCTGAGACCATAGGTGTGTACCTCCACACCCAGCTAATTTTCAAATTTTTTGTAGCGACAGGATCTCACTATGTTGTCCAGGCTGGTGTTGAACTCCTAATCTCAAGCGATCCTCCCCTCTTAGCCTCTCAAAGCACTGGGATTACAGGCAGGAGCCACTGTGCCTGGCCTTATTTTTTATTTATAATCTATTTTTTATTATTTAATCAATTATTTAAGAAAGTTGCTATTGCTTAATCAGCCACCTAGTCTATAGTATTTTGTCACAGCAGCTCGAACTAAGACAGTACCTAAACATTTAAAAGGAAAAGTGACTTGATCCAAGCCCTTCACCAAAACAGCAATGAGTTTGGGTTTTCATAGCCATTGCTTGCTTATGCTATCATGAGAACAGGCATTTTTCACTGGAGTATAGAAAATACACACCAGCCTCTACTATAGAAAAGTCTGGACCTTCATCTGTAACAAGAACAGAGAGTAAAGAGTTATCAAACATATTTGAGGAAAACCAACATCGTGAAAGAGATGCACCAAACTAAACAAACAAAAGAACTAATCCCCACAGAATTCTCCCAGGATCTAGAGAGATATTTAAATGAAATAAAAGTACTATCCATAAATAGAGAGCTGACTGCTGTCAAAAGAATATGTCAGAGTTCTTGAAATTACAAAAAGTGCAATTGCTAACATAATAAGCTCACTGGAAGGACTGACCAGCCGAGTGACCACGGCTGAAGACTGAACAGATGACAGGACTGAGAGACTCTCTCAAAGAATGCAAAACAGATAAGAAGTTTTTTTTTTTTTTTAAGTGTAACAGAAGAATTAAGAGACATGGGGCAGGACCTGAAATTTAACTCTCTATCTAATAGGAATTCTCAGAAGCCAAGAACAGAGAGTCTGTTGGAGAGGAGATAATCAAAGTAGTGACAGAATAAACAATTTCTCTGAGCTGGGAAAAAACTTCCATCTTTAGATTTAAAGAGCAGACCAAATGCCAAACAAGAAGAATTATAAAAGGCCCGTCCCTAAAGGCATCAAGATTTCTAAACTCCAAGGGTAATGAAAAAAAAAGTCTAAATCCTCCAGAAAGATGAAACGTAGTAACCAGGTGTTGAAGACCTCAGCGGGAATGCTAGAAGACAATGGAGCAAAGTCTTGAAACTTCTGAGGACAATCATCTTGAGATCTGATACAACAGTATCAGTTGCAGTCCAATCAGGAAAAGAGAAACCAGCAATGACACCCTGTTGGAACCGGAAGCTGGAAGATTTTCCATTCCTCCTGCTTTTCCATCTCCTCTCTGTGTCTCCTCTTGATAGACCCTAAAAGGAAGGCAGCTGGGAAATGTAGTATGTAGGCTCCCAGCCCCAGCGCTATCGAGCTGAGTTTAAAAGGGCAGCTATAGTGCGGAGTGATAACGAGTGAATACCAGAACATCAGCCAATTAATATTCAAGTGGGAGGGCAAATTTAAAGATATTTTTGGGTATGAAAAGACTTGGGGCTGGGCGAGGTGGCTCATGCCTGTAATCCCAGCACTTTGGGAGGCTGAGGCAGGCGGATCACTGAAGGTCAGGAGTACGAGACCAGCCTGGACAACATGGCACCATCTCTACTGAAAATACAAAAAAAGGTAGTGAGACCCTCGCGAGGTCTGAGAGTCACTGGAGCTACCAGAAGCACCATGGGGCCCTGGGGAGAGCCCGAACTCCTGGTGTGGCGCCCAGAGGCGGTAGCTTCAGAGCCTCCAGTGCTTGTGGGGCTGGAGGTGAAGTTGGGGGCCCTGGTGCTGCTGCTGGTGCTCAACCTTCTCTGCAGCCTGGTGCCCGTCTGTGTGCCACGCAGGCCAGGAGCTAACCATGAAGCCTCAGCTTCCTGCCAGAAAGCCCTGAGTTTAGTAAGCTGTTTTGCGGGGGGCGTCTTTTTAGCCACCTGTCTCCTGGACCTGCTGCCTGACTACCTGGCTGCTATAGATGAGGCCCTGGTAGCCTTGCACGTGACACTCCAGTTCCCGCTGCAAGAGTTCATCCTGGCCATGGGCTTCTTCCTGGTCCTGGTGATGGAGCAAATCACATTGGCTTACAAGGAGCAGTCAGGGCCGCCACCTCTGGAGGAAATAGGGCTCTGCTGGGAACAGTGAACGGTGGGCCACAGCATTGGCATGATGGGCCAGGAGTTCCACAGGCGAGTGCAACGAGACCAGGCTCGGGCCATGGAGCTGTGCCTGGCTTTGCTGCTCTACAAGGGGATCCTGGCTGTCAGTCTGTCCCTCCGGCTGCTGCAGATCCACCTTAGGGCACAGGTGGTGGCTGGCTGTGGGATCCTCTTCTCATGCATGACACCTCTAGGCATCGGGCTGGGTGCAGCTCTGGCAGAGTCGGCAGGACCTCTGCACCAGCTGGCCCAGTCTGTGCTAGAGGGCATGGCGGCTGGCACCTTTCTCTATATTACCTTCCTGGAAATCCTGCCCCAGGAGCTGGCCAGTTCTGAGCAAAGGATCCTCAAGGTCATTCTGCTCCTAGCAGGCTTTGCCCTGCTCACTGGCCTGCTCTTCATCCAAATCTAGGGGGCTTCAAGAGAGGGGCAGGGGAGATTGATGATCATGTACCCCTATTCTCCCTTCCCTTCCCCAGTGTGTGGGGAATCTGAAGGAATGGAGAAGGGAAGTACTGAGGACCAAAAAGTTCTCTGGGAGCTAAAGATAGAGCCTTTGGGGCTATCTGACTAATGAGAGGGAAGTGGGCAGACAAGAGGCTGGCCCCAGTCCCAAGGAACAAAAGATGGTCAAATTGGTAGAGACATGATTAGGGGACATTAGGATTGGGGAAGACACTTGACTGCTAGAATCAGAGGTTGGACACTATACATAAGGACAGGCTGACATGGGAGGCTGGAGATGGGCGCCAGCTGCTGTGGGACAGGGATATGGAGAGGTCATAAACCTAGAGTCAGTGTCCTTTTGGTCCTGTCCCATTTCAGCACCCTGCCCTTGGAGTGGAACCCTCCTACTTTTCTTAGCTCCTACCCTCATATCTATCTCCCGCTTCCCGTCTCCCAGGGGACTAGTGCCAAATGGCCTCTCCCTGCCAATTTTGGTATCTTCTCTGACCTCTCCAGTCTTGCTTACTCCTCTATTTTTAAAGTGGCAAACATCCCCTCCGTCTTTCTCAAAGCACAGTAATGTGGCACTGAGTCCTACCCAGCCACTTAGTGAAGGGGGCCTGCGTGTTCTTTATTTTGGTCCCAGATCCTGGGGTGGGGCAGAAATATTTGCTATGCTGGGGTAGCGGGGAGGTTGGAAAGCTGCAGCCACCTACTGCTGCTGTACCCTAGGAATATGGGACATGGACATGGTGCCCCATGCCCAGATGATAAACACTGAGCTGCCAAAACATTTTTTAAATATACTCGAGGAGCCCAAGGGGGAAGGGCAATGCCTACCCCCAGGGTTATTTTTTGGGAGGGAGGGCTGTGCATAG